AATGCCATCAGCAAATCCCAGCTGGAACGATGGGTGGCGTGTAGAAAACTGGATTATTATAGGTAATTCAACCTACTGAAAATTTGTGAGTAGCCGATTATTGTAGATGGGGAACTATCCGACCGCTCTATATGACCTCACCTAAGAAACTTCCTGTTTGCGAATTATGTTGAACCTGACTTGCTGTTACCTATATATTCTATATTTCCCAAGGCCACCAGTCATTCTATGCGTTAGAACGAAGGTGTCAGCTAGTTCTCATACATTACCTTGATGGACGTAGACGCTATATGTTGGATAAAAAGACGTTTAGAAGCCGATAGATAGGTGTAGTGAAAAGTACTGCGCAAAAATCATCCTAGTGCACGTTTTGCAAACAGCCGAAAAGCAGTTCGTTGGAAATCCGGCGTCCTGATGTGACAGAAATACATTTGGATTGTAGGTTGCATGCTAAAGAATATTGCAACCTACGTAGGTAATCTGTTCGGATTGAGAACACATACTTTAGGGTTTGGATCAGCCTTTTATGAGATAGAAAATCTTTTGTGGATGCATCACATTTCCTCTATATTTAAAGGAGTTTGAACGAGAAGGCCTGTTCTACATGAGGATATAAGTGGTATTGTGTAAAATAAGTAATGTTCTGTAAGCTTTTGCATCTGTTTAGCAGTCTTTATAGACTTACTGGAAACCCTTTACTAGGGTTTGGTACATGAATTTTAAAGCATAACTGAAATGTAATTATTCCGCCTCTGAGTCCGCTTCGGCTATCAATTTCCTGCCTATCCTCCTGACTCTTAAGTCGAGTTGGCGGCGAGTTAAGGTCAAGCCTCCCTTTGACCTTGAGCGCCGAACTCTACATATGAACTATATTTTATAATAAAAGCAAATCCTAACTAAATGGCTTTGTCTGTTTGTTGTTGCTGTTGCAAGGTTGTTTTAATAACTTCATTATGGACTATCGGAACTTATTATAATGGCGTGGATTCAACTCTCACCGAGCTTTTCACAATTGGTTCAGATGAATTAACTTGCCGCGATCGTTTCTCTTTATATTTTGAACAAAAGTACAAGACCCACGTAATTGAGTCTTAAACTTAAGTCAACGTTTAAAGTGTTCATTTCCAAACGAACGGAGCACACATATAGTAGTTCTGGTGGCGTAGTAGCAAAATTAGGTCATCCGTGAATGAGGAAAAGGGTTGTCGAACACCGGATCAATTTGTTTATTATTACGAGATTTCAGGCTCTTGCGGGAGTCCATCGTCAGCGATAAAAGCGTCCACGAAAAACAAGCAACAATTATAGGGGACAGGAACCAACGAACCGTTATACGGGGGAAGGAGAGGGGGAGGGAACTCATTAATCACCAGTGTCGGCCGTGCGAACATGCCTGCGAAGAGCGATGTATTTAGGCGCCAGATCGATCGATTGATTGACTGAATTCTTATCCGAGGCCTAGGCTTCAACCAACTCTCGGCATGTATTGCTGTCGGCTTGGGCAATTAGCTTCACAGCTGCGAAGTTAAACTCGTGACCCGTCTCGTAGGTTGGGGCCGCCAATTGCGATAATACGTCACCCCGCGGAGTTCAGCCGGTCTCTTATTTTCATTATCCTGTTGCGCATGGTAGCCTTTGGACGGTGTGCAATTCCGACGCCTAGTTACGCAGCGATGCACTCGGTCGCTTCTGAGACATCCTTGAGGTATGGCAGAGCGTGCCATATCCTGGGTGGTTCTTCTGTTTGGGTCCTCCGGGGATGTACGCGTAGGCATCGGTTTATATATACTTTCGTGCTTATCCGCGCTTTGTTCATCTTGAAACCTTGGACCGCCCGATCGATGGCTTTAATTGATGACCTCAGAATAACAGGAAAAACTGTGGGACTTCTATCATGACTGTTGCTTCTGTGCCCTTGAGAAGGATTTGGCACTGTTAATTGGGTCATGTGTCTAGCGGACAGAGTTCGCTGTCAAAGTTTCACTCTAGTTTTTACCGCGACTAGTCATTTGGTGCTTATGTACCGTGAAGATACCTTATATCAGGGACACACAGGCTATGGACTCTGATCTATGAATGATTGGGACGTATTCTCGAGCCCCGCTGGCAAGCCAAGGGAGACCGAAATAGCTATTTCTGGCTTATTAGCCGGCGTCAACCAGTCATACCCTGTTGTAAATGTAGCCAAAGCTGCTATATCGCCGTCTACGTTACGCCTTGTGTGAGACCCAAGGAAGAACACAACAAGAAGAGCGCAAAATAGAAGTCCTTGTACAAACCTAGTACATTATAGTTATGCAAGCGAACGCATACAGATTGGACCAATGGGATTATGGTCTCAAGTAAGACGCGACTCCATTGGCCTTGTGACCCATGAGTCCTGCGCCGGCCAAGCCGTGTGCGTCGTCACATGCACCCTGTGTGGGCGGACATGTTGTCTGGCGTGCGAACGACTCCTCGGGGTGGCGTGCACTTTGTGTGGGCGGACCAATCGTTTGGCGTGGGCAAGACTCGTCAGAGTGGCGTGCACTTGCATTTAAGCGGGGCCCTAACATGTCCAACCTCAACTGGCACCCCACCCGAGGCTCACAATCTTCTCATTGAAC